TAGGCGGTGGGCTCAGAGGGCAACCCACAGGCTACAAAGTATTCCGCCACTTGATGGGCGACGTCGCTACCCAACGATATATCGTCCATTTAACGACGAACACAACTTTCCAAATTGTCCTCAAATTTTAACACGGTGTTCACCAAAAGCAACCTAAATTTACCACAAATTCATTTGTCTTTCAAATCGCCAAAGGTGTTCACCATAATAAAGGCCGCATATTCCTTGTCGTCAGAGGTCATCAAAGACGTTATGTCACAGAAACTATACAGATTTGTTTAGTCATTCAACCTCTTGTCTTGTGTGATCTCGAGGATTCGTTGATTAATAGGCATACCAATGTCACTGAGTCATACTGATTTGATTAGAATGTAGTTTCTGGTATCCCATTGAGTCAATTGGGAGATGAAAGTGTCTGCTGTGATACATCTTCGATATGTCATTTTTATAGTTCACACTTTCGGCCTGTTTCGCCTACCTAACGCAAGCATGGAAAGGCTGGCCGAGTCCTGCAAAAAATGGGCAGATTAAGCAACAGCGAGCAGTGATCATAAGGGGCTTGCTTGCTTGACTGACTGCGCTAGATCTTCCGAAAATGAAATATAGACCGCAGTCTAAACCATATCAACTTGTTAACCAAGATATCACGTATCCTGTTGGCAGCCTCTTTGTCCAAGCGGGAAGGAGATACTGAGGCGGATATTGAGTATGGAAGCAAAATTAATCTATCTACTGCACGTCGACGGAATGTCAGATGAGACGGGTAAACTCGCACACTTGCAACAATTAAACTTGAGGTCGTCTTACGTTTGTTAGGGCGTTAAACCGTGCCTGAAGAGAGTGCAGTGAATGAGACTGACATGATTTTATTAGAACAGTTGGGAGCATATTTTCAGTGCAGTATGTTTACGGGAATTATAATAATAATAATTAATTTATAAAAGTATGTTCCCTACTCCATAATTCTCGCATACAAAGCAAGATAATTAGCAATACTGGGGAGAAATAACAGTTTCAAGTGGAAGCAGACTTAGTTGACTGTCGGCGTTCCTGTCTCCTCGACCGCACAACTGGTCTTTCTGTCCGCGGTCTTACACCCTTTATTGACTCCTGCAATTTATCTGTTCGGGACACAGGTATTGCTTGCCCATGCCGAGACCTGCTCCTCCAACACCCCAACATAATCAAACCCCAGTTTCGCAGTGGTGAGATCCAGCATGACGTTGTCCACCACATTCGCACCTCTGGCCTCCCAGTATTCGCACGGCCTAGACGACTGGCTCCGTCCTGTCTGCAATCGGCGAAGGCCGAATTTGAGCCCATGCTGTAACTGGGCATAATTCGCCCGTCCGAGAGTCCATGGGCGTCCCCTCTTCTTTTGGTGCCCATGGCGACATCTGACGACTGGCGGCCCTGTGGTGACTATCGCGCCCTCAACAATGCGACCATCCCGGATCGTTATCCCGTCCCTCATCTTCAAGATTTTGCTAGAGCTCTTTTCGACAAATCGGTTTTCTCAAAGATTGACCTTGTTCGGGCCTTCCATCAGATTCCTGTCGCTCCTGAGGATGTTCCCAAAACTGCCGTCACCACACCATTCGGCCTGTTCGAATTTATTCGCATGCCATTTGGTCTTCGCAATGCTGCCCAAACATTTCTGTTCTGCCCTTGATTTGTGATATTTTTGATCGAGCTAAGAGATTGTCTGAAGAAAAACAGCTAGCCGAAGAGGTCCACTTTACCGAAAACCATTCGTTAAGTGTCTCGAAACTTTTCTCTAGAAAAATACGAACTCAGAAAAAGACGCAGTATCCCATCCTTCGAGACGCTCTCGGAAATCCCATAGTTGATACCCAGTTAACCGCGGATAGCTTCAATGATTTCCTGTCCAAAACGTTTATTGAAGACTCGACCACTCCGCTTCCGACCATCCAGTCATTGACCGGGGCAGTTCTAGAAACTATAACTTTCACTCTGTGGGATGTGACTGTTGCGATTCGGCGTTTTCGTCAATCTTATAGTCGAGGCCCTGATGGTGTCCCAGTAAGCATTTTAAAAGCCGATGCAAACACGACCTTTCCATCCCTCTTATGCAAGATATTTAATCTTGCTCTTGAAAGTGAAACTTACCCTACCTTGTGGAAGGAATCACACATTTTGCCCATTCCTAAGCACGGCAAATCTACATCATTTGATGACTTTCGGCCAATAAACACCCTCCCTGCAGTTTCGAAGATCTTAGAGACATTGATCAAGGATAAGATGATGTGTCACTTAACAGCGAACAACTTACTGAGTGTTGCTCAGCATGGATTCCTCAAAGCTCGATCTTGTGACACCTGTCACCTCTCTTTCTTTGACTATGTTCTCCAATCTAGGGACCATGGTTTTGCTCTTTACACAGTATATTTCGATTTCACTAAGGCTTTTGACCGTGTTGACCATGCTCTTCTCCTCTTGAAATTGTCCTCTTTCGGAATAGGTGGCAAACTTTTGAATTTTATATCCTCTTATTTGGGCACTCGCACACAACGAGTTAAGACTTCCAATACCATCTCCAACCCCACACGTGTGAGGAGTGGAGTCATTCAGGGTAGTGTACTCGGCCCGCTTTTATTTTGCCTTTTCGTTAATGATGTACCCGATTTATTTCAGAATGGCAAGCCTTTCATGTATGCCGATGATCTTAAAGTTGCATATCGATATAAGCCGGCAGATCATGACGTCGTGCTTGAGCTCCTAAAGAGCGATCTACAGGCTTTCGCCCAGTGGTGCCGCACATGGCGCCTTTCTCTTTCTTGGCATAAGTGCTCAGTCATGGTGGTTGGCGACGACCGCCAACCTGAACTAAGTATTGAAGGTCACGCAATAAATGTGCCAGGGCTTATAAAGGATTTGGGCGTATCATACTCCAAGAGTCTTAATCTCTCGGAGCACTGTGCCTTGATAGTCTCCAAAGCACGTAGAACGACCGGGTTTATCCTCCGAAATTTTAAAACCAGGGACATTAGAATGCGCCTTTTCAACATGTACGTTAGACCTGGTCTGGAATACTGTTCGTTTTCATTTAGCCTCATGCGTGCTACTGAGCGGAAGAAGATAGAATCCGTTCAACACTTTTTTACTAAGAGAATTTTAACCCCAGAACACCGACATTTGTCTTACCAAGAACGTTGCCGGCTTACAGGCCTCGATCCTTTATGGTTCCGTAGATTACAAAAGGGACTATTTTTGCTATTTAAACTCTTATATAATCACACATTTAACCCGCTCACCTCTTTAAGACATCATATCCACCCACGACGTAACAGTCACCGTGAGGTCTTCTTATTTCTGCCTCTGGCACGTACTGTTAAATATCGTCGGTTCTTTTCTGTAAATGCAATTGCTATTTGGAATAAACTACCCATGAGTGTGAAAACTCTGCAAAATTTTCCTTTATTTAAGAGAACTATTACTCGATTTTTGCATTCAGAAAAGCTCCCACAAATTTTGGGTGCTGAATCTACTGATCGACTGTAGCGTAGCGATGGCGTTTGTGGTCTCTGAACACTATGGCCGGTCTCACCAGCTGTTCCTCGACGCCTCTACTTTGACTATCCCCAACTTCATGAAAGGAATTTGACGTCCGATAATCTCCGATACCGTGCAACCTCCCCCCTTCTTGACGGTCGATATTCTACCACCGCCGACAGTTTTTTTCTCCTGAGCCCTCCAAACCACAAAAACCACCATCAACTATATTTTTATGCCTTAAGCTCAGGAGTTTTTTTTCACTGCTGGTCGGATTTGTGTTTAATCGCTTCCCTTGACAATGCCTGTAAACTGGCATTAAATTAAAATTTATATTTATATTTGTATATTTCAGAGGTTCATTGACCGAGTCCTACGTGGTCTCCCGTTTGTGTACGCCTACATCGATGACCTCTTGGTGGCCAGTCGAAATGCCGAGGAACACAAAGAGCATCTTGCCTTAGTGTTTGACCGCCTCGATCAGTTTGGCGTGGTCATTAACCGTGTGCCGTCCCTTGATTTTCTTAGTCACCATGTCAATGCACAAGGTTTGCGTCCCCTCTCTTCCAAGGTTGAGGCCATTCGTGACTTTCCTCCACCAACCTCCAAGCGTCAGTTGCAACGTTTCCTTGGCATGGTAAACTTGTATCGCCGGTTCCTACCGAACTGTGCCGACCTTATGCTGCCACTCACCAACTTGCTCTCTGGTCCCAAGGGTCCCCTTGAGTTACGTGGCCATACGCTGACTGCTTTTGAGAGAATAAAGACCTCCCTTGCTGATGCTACCTTGCTCACTCATCCTGCTCCAGAAGCCCCATTGTCCCTGATGGTAGATGCTTCGACCGTTGCCGTAGGAGCAGTCCTCCAACAGCCTATCAACGACTCGACACGACCGTTGGCATTCTTCTCGAAGAAGCTTTCACCTGCCGAGACGAGATATAGCACGTTTGGCCGTGAACTTCTTGCCATTTACCTAGGCGTAAAACATTTCCGACACTTCGTTGAGGGTCGTGACTTCACAATTTTCACAGACCACAAACCACTTACATTTGCCATCCAATCCCATTCTGACAAATAGAACCCCAGAGAGATTTCTCATTTGGATTACATCTCGCAATTCACCGCCGACATCCGCCACATTGATGGCCCGAAGAATGCGGTGGCCGACATGCTGTCCAGACCTTCCCTCTCGGCGTTTCACCTCTCACACGGGATTGATCTTGGTGCTATGGCGGTTGAAGAACGACGTGTTGGATGCCCTGGCGACGAGTCTGTTGACAGTCTTCAATTAGTTGACGTCCCATTGACCACCGGCACTGGCACAATCCTTTGTGACGTATCGACTCCTTTTCATCGCCCTTATGTGCCTGCCTCAATGCGTCGAGCTGTTTTTCAAACTCTCGACGGACTCTCCCATCCTGGGATTCGAGCCTCACAGAAGCTCCTCGCGGAAAGGTTCGTATGGCCTGGGTTGAACAAGGATGTGAAAGCCTGGACACGATCGTGCCTTTGCTGTCAACGTAACAAGGTTCAACGCCACAACAAGTCTCCATCGGGCACGTTCCCCAGCCCCGATACCCGGTTCAACCATGTGCATTTAGATGTCGTAGGTCCTTTACTTCCATCCAATGGCTATACTCACCTTCTCACCTGCGTTGATCACTATACCCGTTGGCCGGAAGCCATTCCTTTACTAAATGTGCAAGCTGAGATCATTGTGAAAGCCTTCGTCAGTCGTTGGGTCGCCATATTCGGTGCACCATCCATGATTACGACTGATCGAGGCGCGCAGTTTGAGTCCACACTTTTCCAAACTCCCCTCAACTTCCTTGGCTGCATACGTATTCGGACGACGGCCTACCACCCAGCTGCCAACGGCATGGTTGAGCGTTTCCACCGCCAGCTAAAAACTGAACTGCGTGCCGCAGAAGATCCCGAAAACTGGTCAGACAATGTCCCCGTTGCACTCCTTGGCATTCGTGCGGCACTGAAGTCAGACTTGGACTGCAGCGCATCCGAATTGGTTTTCGGCGCTACCCTCCGACTCCCTGGCAAGATGGTCACCCCAACCTCTCGTGGTGCCGAAGAGACCCCCGAAAATTTTGTGCATCGTCTGCGACAATTCATGCGCTCGCTTTCCCCGGTTCCACTTTAAGCTCCATCGACCGAGCCTTATGTTGAAAAAGGCTTAGCCAACTTCACCCATGTGTTCGTTCGGTGTGATCGTGTGCGGAAGCCGTTAGAATCACCATACGAAGGACAGTTCCGTGTGTTTGCACATGACAGCAAGGTCTTTCAGTCAAGGTGAAGGTCAAGCCGCTGGCTTTAAATTTGAAGATAAGTGGAGGATATTATTTTTAGTGGTTTTTCTGTGAGATCTAACGATTTTAGTACCTGTTTTTTTGTTTGAATTTCCTTAAATACAGGCCTTTTCTCTAAGAACTGCCCGTTGCCATCTCCTTTCGAGTTTTGCTAGTCTATGCCCGTTTTTCACTGATCGCACTTTGCAATTCTCATTTTGTGCATCCGATTTCTCTCTAACTGTTGTAATTTATTTTTACATCGTTAGCCCCTAGCTGAAATTCAGTCAACTTGTCTGCCAGAAGTTTTCTTAATCACAAATTGCCTCGAGACAAGATGAGACCAAAAGTCACTGGTCGACGTAAGCTCTCGGCTCTTGTAAGTAAACATGGCCTAACTAAACGTAAGTCAGAAGCTTTACCTAAATCTAAGTCAGATGATATTACTAGTCAGTCGTCACCCGTTGTAATTGGTCGGCAGCTTAATCTGTCTGCACTTGACCACTGCAATGAATTAATGCTAAAGTTTGGCTCTTTGCTGACAATTCTTGGACATTTATTCGACGGGAACATCTCCGATATTCCCTCTGAAGAATGTAGGCGTCTCGACTCACTTGTTCACCTGATCGCCAGTGAATCTAGTGATAGACAGAAGCGTTCTTACAACTTCCTGCTAAAAAATGTTCCTCGATCTGCTCGGCCAATTGATGTTGCGACCAGTTTCCTGTATTCATGTGGTTTCAACTATAAAATAGCTGATGCCAAACGCTTGTCCTCCCGTAGTACAAATCCACCCATCTTAGTCAAATCGTTTTCATCAATCGAAGTTGACACAATCTTTACTCATCGAGAGCGTGTCACTGCGTACCTAGAGAAGGCAAAATTTTTCCTTTTTCATGATTTTACTCCTATGGAGTGTAGAATCGGGTCTCTATTCTCACGTAAACCTACTGCTTCTCAGTCTAATGCTCCCCAACTCGGTCATAATACAAGTGGCCGTAAGGATTCAGCTTCTCCTACTCCTGCGACATCTGACTCCCTCCTTCCTCTTTCTCCTACATCTCCATCTCACTCAAGCCACTTGACGTATTTGCCTGCCCCTAAACTTGCGGCAACAGCAGCATCCCCATTTGTCGTTTCGCATCCTCCGGATAGTCCCGCTGAGACACATGAAAATCCGTCTACATCAGCTAGACCGATAACTTCTATTGTCCAACTGGGCGCTGTAAGGTCTACAGCTAAGTCACCAGTGGCTTGGCGTCAGAACGGTGAGACTCGAAAATTGAATCAGACTCCGACCCAAAAGATAGGTAGTACAGTTCCGTTTAGGGGTACGACGCCTTCTCTTAGATCTAACAAGTCTGTTCAGCCCAGCACGTCTACAAACCCCGCAGCTCCAATTATATCCTCGAATAATTCTCTGTCCAGCGTACCGGTTACTTATCAAAGCCCTACTATATATCCAGCAAATAATTCATACATAAATTGCCCTAAATCATTTATGCCCCAACCTAGTTCAGGCTTCCCACCACTTAAGGCCAATTGCTCTCAGGTACGTCAACCTATCTCCTTTGACTTCCAATCTAGACCTGGTTTCCCACCATTTCATTCTTTTAGTGGCCTACCCTCACCCATTAGCCCCTACTTCCCTTCTAGCCTCCCTCCTCCTCCTCCTCCCCTTCCTCCATTATTTAACTACCAACAAGTCTATCCATGTTCTAACTCCCCTAGCATTCCAATGTTTGAAAACTATGTCCACACCTCCTTTAGGTCTCATACTCAGCCTTCTCTTGCTGTCTCCCCGTACGTCAATAACTCTAAATTAACTGGTACTTATTCTCCAAGTGTCATTAATTCGCAGCTTACATATCCGCCTCCAAATTTTTTTAAATACCGTCGAAAATAGCATTGCCGTTCGAAACACATTAGATATTATATTATTGAATGCCAGGTCTGTTATAAACAAGATGGCCCAAATCAGAGCCATTGCTCTGGAAATGACGCCTGATATTATATGTGTAACAGAATCTTGGACACATTCTCTAATTCCTGACTCTGCCCTTCTCATAGATGACTTCGATTTTTACCGCCAAGACCGCACGACTTGGCGTGGGGGCAGTTGTCTTCTTTATCTTAAATCCTACCTCAAGCACTCTCCCTATTACTTGGATGTTTCCTCATTCACGGGAAACTTCTGCTTTGCATCTGTTATTCTCTCGCCGCAAAGAAAGGCAATTATTGGCTGTATCTACAATCCCCCAAATTCTGTAGCCAGTGATGATTCTCAACTCTGTGAAATCTTTAAATTAATTTCGGAAGCTGCTTTCGATGTTAAAATAATAACTGGGGATTTTAACCTTCCTGAAATTGACTGGGTTTCCAATAGCTACCCACCCAGATTCCAGCCCTTTCAAGATATTGTCAATTTTTGTAATTGGTCCCAACTGGTGCGCTCTCCAACAAGAGATAATCACATTTTAGATCTAATCTTTACCAATGACATTGCTCCTCTTTCTGTTGCTTTAAAAAAGGACCTCTTTGACAGTGACCACGTATTAATTCATTGTTGCCTACCGCTTGGCTTTTCAAAAAAGACAAGCGCCGTTCAGACTTTCATGAACTACGACTGCGTAGATAGCAACGTAATAAATAACTATATGAGATCCTTGGATTGGTGTGGCTTCCTCACTTGTAGCGATGTAACCATTCTTCGTGATGTCATGTCCATTGTTTCCAAGGACATTCTAGAGTTTGTGCCGCGTAGATATCTCAAGCGTAATTCTTCAGATTCTCTTGTTCCTCATTTTCTTCAGAACAGACTAAAAAGTTGAGGCGACAACTGCGTGACCTATCCACTAGTTCCTTATCAGTTCATCTTAGAATCACAGAGATTTTTGAGATGGCCTCAAGGATGCGCCAAGCGCGCGACAGGCAAAGAGCATCAATTGCTCTCAGTGGTTCGAACCCTGGCAAATCCGTCGCTAACATCTTCCGTCATCGGTCCTCCTCTAAGCGTGGTCATGAACTTCCACCCATGCTAAATGAGAACAAAGTCTTCCTCACCGATGACACTGACAAGGCGGAGTTGTTTAGTGCTTTCTTTGCAAAACACCTTGCCACCGAGTCCGATCCGGTCCCTTTCTTTCGATCACTTTCAGATAGGACACTTAGTACAATTGATGTCTCCTCAGATCTCATTAAGAAACACATAAGCCGTTTGAAATACTCACACTGCTCAGGAACGGACGGGATTCCGAATTCGATTATTAAACAAGCGTCCGACTTTCCCATATTACTCAGTCATTTATTCTCGGTTTATATTTCAAAAGGATTCTTTCCTGAAACACGGAAAACGTCAATTATCATTCCCGTTTTCAAGTCAGGATCTCGGTCCGATGTTAATAACTATCGGGGCGTGCACAAAACGCCGTCTCTAGCAAAACTTCTTGAAAGAATTATTTTCAATGAAATTCTTGACTTCTGTCTAGCTAATCGGCTTCTGAGCTCTAGTCAGCATGGGTTTTTACCTGAACGATCCTGCGAAACATGCCACTTGGCTTTTTTAACCTAATCACTTCTCTTCGTAATGAGCGGCAGTCAGTGGTAGTTATTTACTTTGATCTTAGCAAAGCCTTTGACAAGGTGCCCCATAGACGTCTTCTAGTAAAATTGGAAGCCCTCGGCATCCGGCCGCCTCTACTCGATTTCATCAGGTCATATCTGTCCAACCGATATCAGAAAGTCATGGTCGGTAATAGCTACTCGACACCCCACTCGATCACGAGTGGCGTACTTCAAGGCACGGTCCTGGGTCCGCTACTCTTTCTTCTGTACATCAATGATATTTCGACTGAACTCGGAAATTCGCAAACTTTTACTTATGCCGATGACCTCAAGTGTGTTAACTCATACTCTAAGGACACCGCAAATGTTTGTGTTGAAAAAATTAATGCCGATTTACTACGCTTAAGCAGATGGGGTTCGACATGGCAGATGGAGTTTTCATCATCCAAGTGTAGTTTCATGTCTTTTGGTCCTACCAAACTTCCTGGTCCCATAATTTTTCAGAATAACCCACTCTCAGAATGCCTCACCATAAAGGACCTAGGTCTAAGTTATACAAATAAACTTGCTTTATCACCTCATGCAGATAGAATCTCTGCCAAAGCCGCGCAGATATGTGGATTCATATCGCATATTTTTTTCCTTCCGGAAATGAAGCTAAGACTTTATCAAATGTTTGTTCTTCCAGTCCTCGAATATTGCTGTCCTTTCTTCGGTTTAATGAACGCCTGCGACCGTAATAAAATCGAAAATGTTCAGAGGGTTTTCACTCGGAAACTGTTCTCTCAAGCTTCGTCCAGTATTTCTTATACTCAGAGATGTCAGCTGGCGAACATGAAGTTTTTGTGGGTTAGAAGACTCGAAGCTGGCCTTTGCTTCCTTTTTCGCATCAACTCTAGCTCCAGTCTTCCGCACATTGACACTCTCACTCCGAGAGATCGGTCTTATGCCACGCGCAACTCCTGCATGGTGATTCCGCCGCTTCTTTGTACTACATCTAAGCGCTCCCTCTTCTTTGCTTCCAAATATGCCTTCCTTTGGAATAATCTTCCGCCTGAAATTAGATTATCGCCTAGGTTACTGATATTCAAGTCGAAATTACGCAACCATTTTACACCGGAAAGAATAAAGGCACTGTTAACGGTCTCATTCACGAGCACTCAGATTCTTGACTTCGAGAAGGGTCCTCCTGGGATTTAGTGGTAGAGTAAGTGGTACCTCTTAATTATATCATTAGAAACCCCTGTTTTTAATTGGTTTCTAAATCCATCGCTATCCTTCCCCCCATAGT